TCAACACTTATAATATTATAATAATATAAATTAAATATTATAATATTTTATTTACAATATATTTTAATATAATTAATATATAATATATTAATAATATGTTTAATATTAATGTTATAATGGGTCAAACTAGTGTTGACAAAAAATACTTAACATGGTGCTTTAAAAAAAATTTAAGGGAAAAATATGTCTAGGCCCTAAAAATAGAAAGTTCATGTGACCCGCCCCCTTGTATTCTGACCCACGTGTATAAGCCCCAAATACACACTGTATTTGTGTTAAGGCCCAAAGTATCGGACCCTAAGAAAAGCCCAACAAAAGTTACAAATTTACCCTTTGATTTGATTGATCTTGGTAACTACGCCCATCCCTTTAACCCCATCCCATCTCTCTCTCTCTCTCTCTCTCTCTCTCTCTCTCTCTCTCAACTTCTCATTCTCTCTCACTTCCGTCATGGCCACTGAAAATGATTAGACCCTGGGGAGGTCGTGGAAGGCGAAGGCGAGGACGGTGGTCATAGAGTCGAAGGTCGGGGAGTCATCTTGGAAACAACTCATGAACGTAGGTTCAACGACAAACACGGAACATGGTCCGGTGGGACCCGCGAGCTGACGGAGCCCGGAGTGTTGGTCCGATGCATCGTTGTTCTCCCCTTTCTAAGTTACGGAATATCTTTACCCAAATCAATGTCTTAATCAAGATAGTGCTCTTGTTTTCTTGTAATTTATGAAGGGAATCGATATTGGATTTTTGTAGTTTTTCTCTTTCATTTAATTGAAATGGGATCTCCTTGGATTCTTGAACAGCGATTTGGGTTTTCCTTTAATGCCTTTTTCTTATGTGATTTAATGATTGACAGAGTTCTGTATAAGAGATTAACAGCAAAAATTTTCAAAAGCTCACATTGAATCTTCAGGCATATCGACATTTAGCTAAAAATTAAAGACAATGTGATTAAAAGTCGACTAAAGAATCTAAGAACCTGTGAATTTGAAAGGGGGGACAAGGAAAATTAGAACTATGAATGTTAGTTCTAAGGGTTGTCATGTTAGTTCTAAAGGCTGGAATGTTAGTTCTAAGGGCTGAACCGTTAGTTCTAAAGGCTGGGCTGTTAGTTCTGAGGTCTAGACTGTTAGTTCTACCAGCTTTCATGTTAGTTCTGTCATCTCTTAGGTTAATTTTACCCGCTTTCATGGTAGTTCTGTTATCTCCTACGTTAGTTCTGTTCGCTGCCATGTTAGTTCTGTCCGTTCTACCTTCTTTATGAGAACATTATAAACAACAATATCAGGATGAACACCATTTTAAGCATCATTCTATAAAGTTTAAACCCAGCAATTAGATTGCCATGCTTGCACAAGCAATCGACCAAACTGCAGTATGCTACGGCATCTGGCATAAATCCCCTCTTTAGTATTTGAAAGAAAATTATTGCTGCTTCCTTCAACATTCCTTGCACAGCTATTCCCTTGAGAAGGATGGTGAAAGTAACTATATCAGGTATGAGCTTGTGTACTCCCAATTGTCTATAGATTTTATGTTGGTGAAAGTAACTACATGAATAAGAACTAGAACTAACATGAAGTGAGTTGCAATCAATATAAAATGAGTTAGAACTAACAAAGAGCACAAGAGCCTAAAACTAACATGAATTAGAACTAGAACTAACATGCAGTGAGTTAGAACTAACATGAATTAGAACTAGAACTAACATGCAGTGGGTTAGACAAAGAACGAGTTATAACTAACATGAATTAGAACTAGAACTAACATGAAGTGAGTTAGAACTAACAAAGAGCAAGTTAGAACTAACAAAGAGCAAGTTAGAACTAACTTTAACTGAGTTAGAACTAACAAAGAGTAAGTTAGAACTAACTTTAAGTAAGTTAGAACTAACAAAGAGCAAGTTAGAACTAACATAAAATTAGTTAGAACTAACAAAGAGCCCAAGAGCGAGCCCAAGAGACCCAAGGCCCAAGGCCCAATCAAAGACTTTTAAATATATATTATAGGTGTAGGGGTTTGTACTCTTGACCTCCTCTCCAAATTATCAAGCTTTACCACTAGACCAAGTAGTCAAAGTATTAATATTAGTTCCACTTAAAGTTAGCTCTTACTTGCCATTAGAACTAACATGAAATAAGTTAGAACTAACATGAGTTAGCTCATGATAGAATTTAAAAAATGGCATAAATAACTAGAGTTAGCTCATGTTTGTTCTATCGCAACTCATGTTAGTTCTAATTTTTACCAGCTCATGTTAGTTCTAATTTTTACCAGTTCGTGTTAGTTTTAATTTATTTAATGCGTTAGTTCTAGCGTAAATGTTGGGTCTAAACGTCATGTTAGTTCCAATTTATGTCATATTAGTTCTAGCTTCTCCAGTGTTAGTTCTAATAGATATCGTGTTAGTTCTAATTTATTTAAATCGTTAGTTCTAGCGTAATTGTTGGTTCTAAACACCATGTTAATTCTACTTGATGATGTGTTAGTTCTAGCTTCTCCAGTGTCAGTTCTAACAAGTATCATGTTAGTTCTAATTTCTTTAATGTGATATTCCTAGCGTAAGTGTTGGGTCTAAACGTCATGTTAGTTCTAATTTATGCTATATTAGTTCTACCTTCTCTAGTGTTAGTTCTAACTGGTATCGTGTTAGCTCTAATTTATGTAATGCGTTATTTCTAGCGTACTTGTTGGTCTAAACACCATGTTAGTTCTACTTGATGATGTGTTAGTTCTAGCTTCTCTAGTGTTAGTTCTATTTGGTATCGTGTTAGTTCTAATTTATTTAATGCGTTAGTTCTAACGTAAGTGTTGGGTCTAAACGCGATGTTAGTTCTAATTTATGTCGTGTTAGTTCTACATTCTCTAGTGTTAGTTCTAACAGATATCGTGTTAGTTGTAATTTATTTAAGTCGTTAGTTCTACATAATTGTTGGGTCTAAACGTCATGTTAGTTCTACTTAATGATGTGTTAGTTCTAGCTTCTTCAGTGTTAGTTCTAACTGGTATCGTGTTAGTTGTAATTTATTTAAGTCGTTAGTTCTACATAATTGTTGGGTTTAAACGTCATGTTAGTTCTACTTAATGATGTGTTAGTTCTAGCTTCTTCAGTGTTAGTTCTAACTGGTATCGTGTTAGTTCTAATCTATTTAAGTTGTTAGTTCTAGCGTAATTGTTAGGTCTAAACGCCATATTAGTTCAACTTGATGATGTGTTAGTTCTAGCTTCTCTAGTATCAATTCTAACAGGTATCGTGTCAGTTCTAATAGGAGTTTAACTAGAACTAATATAGCCACTAGAACTAACGCTTATATTAGAACCAACACTAGCTAGAAGTAGAACTATCATGAAATCAGCTAGAACTAACGCAAAAACCACCAGAACTAATATAAGCTCAACTAGAACTAACATAGCCACTATAACATGGTATAAACATATTAGTTCTACTTAAAGTTAGCTCTAACATGAATTAGAACTAAGTTAGAACTAACATAAAATAAGTTAGAACTGATATAAAATAAGGTTTACCACTAGACCAAATAGCCTAAAGTATTTATATTAGTTCTACTTAACATTAGCTCTAACATGAAATAGAACTAAGTTAGAACTAACATTAAATAACTTAGAACTAACATGAGTTATTGCTCATGATAGAGTTCAAAAAAGGACGGAAAATTTCCCTCTATTTTTTTCCATCAGATCGTATTAATGAGCGTGACTTTCCATGTATTTTGTGGACCAGACGTCTGGGGAAGATAAGTGGATGGGTAATTTCGGGTTTTTTTTTAAAATACAATCTCTTTTTTTATACCGCTGACGTGGAGGGGCCTTGAAATATTAAATGGTACTTTTTGGGGCTGAATCACATGTGCCAAAATACAAGGGGGCGGGTCACATGAACTTTCTCATTTTGGGGCATGGACACATTTTCCCAAAATTTAAAGTAAAAACACAACATCATCATATTTTTTTTTATAAAAATACAACAAGGAAAACACCATGATATCTAAACGAAGCCTAATAAAACAATAATATGCTAAAGTTTACCCACAACTCTTGCTCTTACAAAATTAGGGAATAAATTTTTTGCAGATATACTTTAATGGAAATTATTTTTTATAAATTATTTTTGTAGTATTTCTTTGAAACTACACTATCGTAGTTTCTATTTTTTTTTATATCACGTGCATTATGCAAGCATAAATTAACTAGTTAAATATAATTTAAAAAAATAGATACGCATAAGCGACTCCTGCAAGAGGTGGAGGCCTTTTAAGGGATGCGAAAAAAGAAAAGTAAAAAACTTGTGCAGAAGAAGTTGATAAGAGATGCAAACTATCGAGTTGAACATTGGAAAAGAGAAAGAGGACGGAAATAGAATTTGCTTGTTTGTTTTGAGAACTTTTCTACACTTGAAAAAGAGAAAGAGCATGGAATCAAATTTGCCTGTTTGTTTTGAGTACTTTTCTCTCTTCTAATCTTATGACACATGCTGCATGTGTCATGTCAGTTATCAATTCCACAGAGATCTTTTTCCACGCTTCAACTCAAAAAAATTCCATCACTAAAATGGATTTTTTTAAAGTTTTTAAAATTATTTTCTTTCTTCATTCAAAACGAGCTATTTTCTTTTCTTACTCTAGCTCACACATTCAAAGTTTCAAACATTCCTCAAAAGGGTAGTGGAATCAACATAAGAAAGAAATTCTGTCTTTCTTGTTGTTTTTCAAGAAGGAGAATATTTCTCTCTCTCTCTCTCCCCAACAGATCTAAAACGCAACTCCTTAAATAAAACTTCAATAATAATTCTTTAATTTACCCAAGACTCCAGTCATATGTTAGTCATTTCATAGTGGAACATGAACTGTTCCCAACCTTGTGGGGGGCTGCACTGATCACAAACAGTACTCCCGACCGAATCCCTTTAAAATATACAAAAAAAGTACGTACGTAAACAGTCAACAAAAGCTCACCAGACAAAATATTTGACATGTACTCCAGAGCAATAAAATAACATATCTTCACAGCAAGCTGGCTCAAATCTTAGTCATCATCACATGATTATTTATTCTCATTGAATTAATTAAAAAAAAAACAGAACAACCGAGAGATGGGACTAATCTATAGACGCCCTAAGGAGAAGAGACGGAAGAAATGCGACATTTTTCTTTGTTCTGACTTCTCTTTTGGGCCTACTGAGTACATATGCATGGACATCTACAAGTAAACATATGTTTATGTACAACGTCGTCCATGCCCCTAAATCTTTCCAAGAACACCAGCGTTCATCCTCCTCATTATCTCCTTCCTGCAAAACCAGGGATTAACTATCATTAGAGGAGATCATAACATAGAGCCTAAATTTCAACTGTAATCATTTTGTCACCATTGTAGTTTTTGTGGTCATTATATGAGGTTTATACTGTAATCTTTCCAAGCCCACTCTACCTACAGTTGCAATTTACAGCACGGAAGCGAAGCAATACCTGAGGATGTCGCGGTCGAGGGTGGAGGCAGAGAGCATGCCCTTATTCTCCTCCGCTCGTCGAAGAAGATAAGGGAAGACTTGGTCAACAGGGCCATAAGGCAGGTACTTGCGCTGACTTGGAAGCCAGCGTTCCCTGAGCCCCAGGACAGCCCGTCGGCCATCCCATCAGCTGAGAGAACTGGAGGCTGTGTGCTCACTTTCCCTACACCCAGCTCCTCCGCCTTTGCGGACTTTCCTGTAATCACAGGTCAACATCGTTCATTAGTTTAATTTGCCGACACGATCACAATGAACTCGATCTACCCGTAGATCTAGGTTCGGGAACAGAAGTAATATTAAAATAAGCAGCACGCCGACTAATTAAATCTCCCGAATATAAAACTATTTCATTAAAACATTCAATGGAGGGGGATTGATTTTATACCCGACTCAAGATTGTGAGTGGCCAGCACCAGCGACGCAGACCCCTTGACGATCCTCTCGAGCATAAACGAAGCGCAATCATCGTAACAGGCGTGGGTCTCCTGAATCGACGGGTGAATCGGCGAGGCGACGCCCAACGAGTTCGCCAGCTCCGTCTCCCTCGTCAAATACGCCCCTCTCACCAGCTTGAGCCCGATCAAGAACCCCTCCCTGTCCGCGGCCTCCACAGCCTGCACCATTCGCTCCTTCGCGTCGCGCAAGTAGCACTGAATAGTACCGTACACGATCGGGGAATCTCCCTTGTTGAACTCCGACATTGCCGCGTACGTGAAGTAGTCGATCGCGGGCTGGACCGAAGTGTACTCGGCGTCGATTAGGACGGGGAGGTTGACCCCGGAGCAGCGTTTGCAGAGGGTTGAGAGTCTGTGGAGGGCGGATTTGAGGAGTTGCTCCTCTGTTTAGCCGGGGGTGTATGGTAGAGTGGGCTTGACGTCCGACAGCGATTGTGGAGCGAGTGGGAGATCTATCGATGGGTCCTTTTTCTCCCAGCGTAGGAGATCGCTGACCCGTTCGAGGAGCGAGATTGGGCAAATGGCCGTGATTTTTACGCAAGCGGAGCTCACCTGTAAAATATTTGAAAAATGTTAGTTCCATAACGTGATCTATAGATACGGACACGCAAGCAAATGGACGTAATTAGTTGGGTTATAACTTATAACAAGGATATTCAACTGTGTGTCACATCAACAAACTAGAACATTACTTAGGTTATTCTCTTTTATTGGCTTGTTCAAATACTAAAAAAAACCTCTGAGATCTACTGTTTTAGTAACCCCAAAAAAAAACAGTCACCATAAATAAATAATTTGATAACAGTGCCATGAGTACCTCAACGTACGGGGACAGCTGGAACCAAAATCCGTGGGCCCACCCTTGTACTTAAAAAGGTGGGGCCCGAACAGGGACCAGAAACAAAAGAAGCTCCCAGAAAAGGACAACCACGTGACCAACCTACCGACTAGAATAGTGGCCCATACTTCTCCGTGTAATTAACTAAGATGTTATCATAAGTTACTAAACTACCCCTGCACGCCGTATCTGGATTCTTCTCGTGGATCCGTACCAAAACCCGACTAGCACTTAACCCTAGACAGGCGAATGGCTCAAAACAAAATTAAAAAGGCGCGTGAACCCTGGGGGCTACCAACTACCCACGTCACGTGACAGAATCTCGCGTCCACGTGTCAAGAATATTCAGTCAAACCGAACAATAAAGCCTAAAAACAAAAGCAGAAGGAACCGAAACTTACGGCGGAGCCAGGCACCGATGACGTCATCTCCACCATGTCCAAAAACCCGTTCAGGTTCCGGTCGCAACCGACATCGTCCTCAGCGTCCTCCGACCCGTAATCCAAAATCCCCTTCAAACCCATACCCGTTAACTCCTTGACGGTCCGGCCGACCTCATCCCGACCC